GAGGGAGAATTGTTTTCAAGAGAGTATTTGTCGTTCTCGTAGCGAAGTACACGAGCATAAAATTTACCACCTGAACCATACCCAAGGGTATAGGTCAGCGGTGTTAAGTACAACCATCACCACCACCCACCCCCTTTCATCTTACAAAACCGAAAACTCTGTACCCGATATGCACTAACTCCTCATTCCCCTCCCCACCCCCAACCCCTGGCACCCACCGTTCTACTTTCCGTTTCTATGAATCTGACCACTCCAGGGACCCCACATTAGTGGAACCATACAGTATTTGTCTTTTTGTGACCGGCTTCTTTCACTTAGGATAATGCCTTCGAGGTCTATCCTCGTTGTAGTTGTAGCGTGTGTCAGAACTTCTTTCTTTTCTAGGGCTGAATAACATCCCTTTGTATGGATATACCATTGTTTGTTTATCCATTCATCCACTGATGGACACTAGGTTTGCGTGCACCTTCTGGCTGTTGCGAACAATGGTGCAATGAACATCGGCGTACAAGTTTCTGTTTGCCTCTCTGCTCTCGATTCTCTTGGCTATATACCTAGAAGCAGAGTTGCTGGTTCATAGGATAATTCTATGTTTCATTTTTTTGAGACCCTGCCATACTACGTTCCATAGCAGCTGTACCATTTTACATTCTCGTCAACAGTTCACAAAGGTTCCGATCTCTCCACGTCTTCACTGACACTTATTGTTCGATAAGTGTCAAAAAATAATGTGTGTGGTAGTATGTTATCATTTAAATAGGCAAAACATCAGTATGTTTGCACGCAGACAGGAAAAATGCAGGAGACGGAGAAAACGATGCTAACGGAGAGAGAGAGTTGCCAGAGCCATGTCCTTGGGGTGGGAGGGCCCCTGAGTTCCTGCGCAGAGAGCGGAATGCCCTTAGCCAGCAGCCTGGCTATATAACCATCGTCACGGGGAGAAGGCTGAGAACCTGAAGACAGATGCAGGCAGGAGGGTACACGTGGTGGGGGAGCCTAAGGGTGTTCTCTTGTGTTTGTCTTCTCCCTGAAACAGGCAGCTGGGTAACCAGCTGAAAGTAAGGATGGGGTGAGATCAGAGGCTTGAGTAGGGAAGAGAGGGTGTGAAGAAGTCTCTCTAGAGTGTGGGAGTGTGTGTGGATGGCGGGGTTGATAGGCTGGAGAATGGGCCCCACAAAGGCGTCAGGATCCAAGTCTCTGAAATCTGTGATTATGCTACCCAGCAGGATCTTGGATGGGTGGGCCCAACGAAATCACACATGTCCTCCTTGGAAGGAAGAGGGAGATGTGACTAAAGAGAACACTACACTGCTCGCTGTAAAGATGGAGGAAAAGGCCACAAGTCAAGGAACGGAGATGCTTCTAGAAGCTGAAGGGAAGGAAACAGATTCTCTCCAAGGGCCCCAAGGGACAGAATGTCTTCCAGAGCCTAGCAGCCTGACAATCCTTGATTTTAGACTGACCTCTATGCTGTAAGAGGTTGAATTTGTGTTGTTTGAAGCCACTAAGTTTGCAGCCATAAGAAACTAATACGCCAGGAAGTGGAGGGGGGCATACTGTGACTGTGGGCAGCACCAAGGGCCCCCTTAGTGTTTAACTATAGATATTACAGTGAGACCAGCCAGTGTAGTTGACTGTTTCAACCTTGCCCCATACAGGTGCATGGGTGAACAGGTACAGGTGTGGCGTGCACAGAGAGTTGGATTTAACCAGAATGAGAACAATAAAGCAGGAAGAAGACCAGGAGTTGAGGTTGCATGCAAGGGACAAAATGACTGGCCATATGGTCTTTATGGCAGATAGGATGGACGGAGGGAGCAATGAATTGCAGGTCCCAGTGAGGGAGACAGAGGTAGCGTTGGGGTTGGGGCTGAAGGTGAGGGAGAGTGGGATGCCTGACACTGAGATTATGGTCGTGGCTACCTGTAATGACAAGTCTAGAGTAGGGGTCTGCAAACTATAGACCACAGGCCAAATCCACCGGCTGCAGGTTGGTATAAAGTTTTATTGGAATACAGTCATACTCGTGGTATAAGAAGAAATATATTTGGTCTCCCTTCCCAGTTTCTGGCACAAAGCTCCTAAATTCCTTGGAATTTCCTGAGTGATGTGTCTTCTGTCATTCACAAGGAGCCCCTTTCAAGCACATCTGTTTATGCTAATGAGGTGACTCAGGATGGGGCTGGTCACCAGAAAGACCAAGTGAAGAGAGGGTGGAAACTCTCCACCGGACCTGAGGACCTCTGAGAAAAAGAGGGGGCTGCAGATTAAGCTCCATTAAAAACGTGAAGGAACTGAGATGAGTTTCCAGGTTGGTAGTGCATCCCCACTCCCCAGGGACTGTTCTGGACCCCGCCCTGTGGACCTCTGCACCCATCTGTGTCCTCTATTGCGCCCTTTATAATAAATTGCTAAATGCAAGTAAATGTTTCCCTGAGCTTTGTGAGTGGTTCTAACAAGTGATAAAGTGCCAAGAGGGAATCTCTGATTTATAGCCGGTCCAACAAAGCACAGGTGACATCCTGGATTTGCAAATCGTGTCAGAAGTGGGAACAGTCTTGCAGGACTGAGCCGCTAACCTATAGGATCCGACACCACCATCTCCAGATCTTCAATGTGTAGGCACGTTGTTGGTGTTGGCTGAGAACTGGTGAATTGCTTGGTGACAGAAACTGTGACAACCTCCCTCCCAGCCTAAAATATTTACTCTGTGGCTTTTTACAGGAAACATTTGCCAAGCTCCAGTCTAGGGTGAGTGGCAGAGATAGGGTAAAGGGCAGGGCTACCTGAGGAGAAAAGGTACAGGGAAATTACCAAGAATGAAGATGGCTGTGCCCAGGAAGGAGGGTGAGTGACCGGGGTAGGCTGAGTGAATTCAAGGCCAAGGCCCCTCTCCTCTCCAAGCCTCTACATGAACTTCCTTTGCCTGCAACCTCTTCCCTGCCTTTTATTCTGGAAATCAGCTATGCCTCAGGAACAGGTCAGAGGTCATCTCTAGAACCTTTTGCAATCCCCTGGCTGCGCCCAGGGCCCTCCTCTGTGCTCCTCCCCACCCCTGCTCATCTGAGCACTCAGCTAGGGGACACATAGCTGTTACCTAGACTGGGGACTCCTGGAGGCCAGAGCCTTGCTCCCATGAGTGAGAAGCTGCATGTAAAAAAGCATATCTGAAGAGACCCCACCCTGACCCCAAGGGCAGGCTGAGGAGACCAAGATGACAGGGCCCGTGACGAGGGCATATTCTGAGGCCAGCTGGGAGTTTCTGGGTAGGGAGCTGCCTTGCTGTTCAGAGGCCTGAGGGAGCAGGCAGGCTCTCAGCAAAGGACGGCTGTCAGGAGGGTGCTTCTGGGGTCCAGCTAGAGCATAGGCTTGTCAGACTCAGTGGCCACGATCCCATCTCCCTCTATACATCAGTGGTAGGCAAGCAGGACCACAGACAAATCCCAGCTCAGCCCCGAAGGCAGAGCCAGCTAGGGGTTAACATGTAAAACAAATGAAAGTTTATTTATAAGTAGAAATGATGCTCAGTATACAGTGCAAACTCTCGTCATTTGGGGTAACACAAGCCAGGGAACTGGGACTACGTCCAGAAAGGGTCTCCTTTTAATTCATCGCTCCCCTGATCTGCTGGGAATGATGGCAGTGAGGCCTGAGGTCCTCCCAGGACTGACCACCAGGGGGCAGACGTGCTCCAAGGCAGTGCAAGGTCCAATGTAGGCAGAGACCCTGGCCAAATCCAGGCAGTAAGACATCTGGATTCCAGGACAGGAAGCCTTTCTTGTCTCCATGGTAACGGCTGGACTCTCCTACCCTCTAAAAGTTCAGCTGCTAAGTTCAAGTTGAGGAATTTTTAAACAAGGGATCCATGTACCATGGACCCAAATGGCTTCTCAAGGAGCCCCAGTTCCCTTCCTTCCAGAATCTGGTCCAAGCCACACTTGTCCGTCATCTGCAGGGTGTGGACAAGTGTTTTTGTGGGGAGTGGGGCTGATTCTTTAATAGGTAAGGACCCCTTGGCAAAACTGTCGGCTTCAGCTGCTTCAGGAAGGCTGTCCGAGCTGACGACATTGGTTACACGGATCCACAGCACATGACGCAGACACACGGACACAGACTGGCTCTCAGCATCTCACAGGAACAGTGGGAGGGAGTCCGGGGAAGACAGGAGGAAGGTCCAGGCTGAGGTAGCAGGAGAGAGACGGCTGTGGAGCCGCAGTCATCTCAGGTTCCTGAAATTCCCTGACAGAAGCTGTGGCCTTGGAGCTGCCCCCAGGCAGCGGGGGAGGGAGGCAAGGCTGGCACTGTGGGTACACCGGCGGGAAAGTCAGAGGCGGAGGAGGCAGACTCCGAGTTCGGCTCTGCTGTGTTGGTGGCTTGTGTGCCTGCTCGCTGCTCACTTTTTTCCTTTAACTGTCACGTGTTAAAAGATTTCCTGCTGGACGGGTGCCGTCTTGCCCAGGCCAGGCACTCCTTCAGGTCGCCTGCCTGGGCTCTCGGGGTGTCTGCTGTTCACGCCACTGTATGAGAGGTGGAGCTAGCAGGAAAAGCTTTCCAAGGGTCCTTAGCCAACCCAGGAGACTTCCACCCCTTTCCCTGCATGGAACCGTCTGACCGATGACAGCCTCGTCCCTTCACTGGGACCGGCCCGCAGTCTCAGCAGTCAGACTAAAGCGCTGCCCTTTCTCCGCAGCCCCTTCTCCATGGATGATTCACACAGCGCCCCTCTTCCCCAGCAGGCCCATCTGGAAGGCAGGATGCTGGGGCCTCCCGGGAAGCCAGCACCAGGTAGAGCCCAGGGATGAAAACAACAAAGGCTTCGGAAGCCAAGTTCGCAGGACCAGCTGAGGGGGCAGCTTGGAGAGGCAGGGGCTCACCGTGGGCTGCCCAGCACATCGAGCCAGCCTTGACAGAAGGATACACGCCAGGACAGGGGTTCCCACGCCTCTCCCTGCCTCGTCCCTCTGCCTGCAAGTGACAGGAAGGCTGAGGCTGTGGAGGCCACTAAAGGAATTTGGCCCAGAAAGAGTCAGTGCTGGGGGGTGGGGCCAAGAAGGCCCAGGGTCAGCCCACCTCGGCTGTGAGGTGCGCACACTGGCCTGGTTAACTGGGCTTCATTCCGACATCAGGCACGCCAAGGGGCAGGGGCTTCTCCTCCGGGGTCTGCAGCAGAGTCTCTGAGGCCCCTGGCTGGGACCGAAAAGGGCACTCCTCCTTGGAGAAGGGGACCTGCTCGTCCTCTGGGAAGCCTGAGGGGCTGGCCTGGGAGGGGCACTGAGAGCCGTGGTCAGAGCTGCTGCAAACATTCACGATGCAGGTGACGTTGACCTGAGTCCCATGGCCGCCAGGGGAAGATTCTGCACAAGATGAGAGAGGGTGGTCAGTCGGGGGTCTTAGAGCGAGGATGTCTTCGCAGCCCGCCTCCTGCCCAAAAGGCAGGTTAAGACACGTGGAGAAAGAGCGCTGAGCCAGGAACCAAGAGGCCCCGCTTCCGGCGCAGCCCTGCAAGTCACTTAATCTTTGTGTGCCTCAGTTTCCTCACCTGTCAAATAAGAAAACCCAGCTCCCCTCAGCCCGTAGATGGAAGGAACCAACTCTACAAAGTACAGGCGAAGGTGCTCCAAATACAAAGCACACTCCCCGCAAAGAATCGGAGAAGCGAGCAAGGACAAGCACACGTCACAGAATACTGGCCAAGCTGCGAAGGTGACTCACTCTCCCATAACTGCTGGAAGGCATCAGCAATCCTAATGCTGTCCAAGAGCTGAGAACTTGTCACTGGCCCTTTATCTGTATCTGCCAAAGAAGCGACATCGAAGGGCTTGCAGTTTCTCCTTTACGGAGATGAAGCATTGACCCCGAAGTTGTCTTCATTTGCAGCTAATCTCCTTCCTTTGCATAGAGCTGCCTCTAAGATCTCATAAACCTGGGGTCCAGAGTGGGGTGAGGTGGTAGTTTGTCCTCATCACTGAGACTGGGATGTCTGGAGCTTTGCCTGACAATCCTCGGTTTGAATTCCTGCTCTGCCCCTGTGAACTTGACCAAGTCACTTAACCTATTGGACCTTCAGTTTGTTCAGCTACAGAATGGGCAGGATGACCCTGCCCATCTCCTTGCAGGCAAGGACAGCTGTCTTCCTCATTGCCATATATCTGAGCCTGCGTGGCTCCTGGAGACGGGGTGACATTCTCAGTGAAGAGGGGTTAAATAGCCCCATATATTCAACCACCTGTTCTGTACCTCAACCTGATTCCACCTCCAAATCCCACCCCGCCTGCTCCTCCTCGGCCAGCGCACACTGCGGCCATCCGCCCAGCTTCAGGCCCAGAGCCCTGAATCCATCTTCTTCTCACACCCCACATGCAATCCATCAATGGTTCCCGCCTGGTCCACCTTCAAAAGACATTTCAAGTTCACCACCTCCGGCTTTCGTCCACGTAAACCTCCATCCAGTCTCTCTGGTGTAAACAGCCTCCACCTGGCTCCTAGTCTGTACTCGGCAGTCCATTCTCCACCAGCAGCAAAAGCCAGCCCTTTAAAACTCAGCATGTCACTTCCTTGGCTGTTCAAATCACCACAGTCCTCACCACGGCCGAAGAGGCCCTGCATCACCTGGCACCTGCCTTCTCCCGCGCCATCCCCTGCTGCTCCTGAGACCTTGGCTGGGTTCCTTCCAGCCACACTCACCTCCCTGCAGCTCCAAGCCTCAAGGGCTCTGTGCTCCCTCCGCCTGGAAAGCTCTTCCCTATTTTCACAGCTCATTCTTTCCTTTCGCTCAGGCCTTAGCTCAGAGTCCCCTTCTTCTTCACTTCCCTCTCCCACCCCACCCATCACTCCCTGTGTCCCACCCTCTGCTACGATCTCCAGGGCCCTGGCTCCTCCCCCTGTACCATCAATTTCCTGGGTTACTCATTATGTCCTCCAACCAGGTCCTAAGCCCAGGAGGGCGGGGACTGTTCCCTACAGTGTCTCTAGTGCCTATCATGGGGACACATTGAATGAAAAAAAAATGAGCCCAAAGTGCATCATGCTTGGTCAGTGGTTGTGTTTTTAAGTAAACTGGCTGCCAACATTTAACATCCAGGAGTTTACGTTTTAAAGATCTGGATTTATGGTTGCCCTTGGGAGTCAGATATGGGAGACCTGGCCAGTGAGGACCCACATAACTGAACGCAACTGGCAGGCAGGGTTTCGGGGTACAGGTTCACCCCACCTTCCCACCCAGCCCCTGTGGACATCTGAGTTTCTTAACTAGTTGGTGAGGAACCAAATGACGAATAAGCCAGGGGCCGGATGTACAAAAGCCCCCCAAAAAGTGATGGCTGCTGCTGTTACTGGGGGCACCCGCTGAGCTCCCAAACAAACGTGGTGTCCACAGCATTCAAAGATGCTGGCTGTTTATTTTCCAGCCCTGCTCCCTTGATTCTCGGGGGTCTCAGGGGAGGTTGAACAGCAAGCTGCTCTACTCAGAGCAGCCCCCAAACAGGCCAGGCAGAGGGAGGGCTGAAATCATGGGACCGGAAGGAAGTTTCCACCCTGGGCCTCTGCGGCACCCAAATGTCACCCAGAGTCACCACGGCCTTTGCACGTTGTGAATGAGACATTGTGGGGGCGGACAGGGCGACCACGACAGGGCAGAGCACGGGGTTTACCCGTTCCCACAGTACAGACAGGTGTCGGGGTGGGAGGGAGAGGGGGGAGAGCAGAGGCCAGAGAGGCAGGTGGGGCATGAACAGAGAAGTGGTCCACGCTGGGCCTAAGGAGGAAGCCACGGCAGGACGGTCGGAAGAGGCGTCGCTAAGGATCAGAAACTTGGCTCAAAGCTGGCTGAAAACCAGGAGTACAGTTGGAGCTCATTCCTTCAGCAGACGTTTAGGGCCACCCACCATTGCCAGGCGCCGACCCAGCTCCTCCCTCAGAGAGTGCTCGGGCTGGGGCGGGCACTGACGAGGCCTCACAGTGAAGGGGCGGGCGGGCTATGATGGGGACGCATAAGTGGGGCACTTCGTCCACGCACATGGCCAGAAGAGGAAGTGACCCTTGAGTCAGGTGACAGGTAGGAATGGGTGTTGCACCCTTGCCAACGAGGCACCACAGCTCATTTCTAGGTAAGGAAACTGAGGCTCGGTGGGGTTAGGGAGCCAGCTCAGATTCTCACAGTACCAGAGCGGCCAGGAGGGCATCTGGGAATGACCCGAATCCATGGTCATTCCTTGACCTCCCACCAGCTAGCACTGCCAGGGGAGAGGGAGAGATGTGAGCTAGCAGGCTTGACCTCTCACCATAAAACACGCCCGAAAAAGCTCCAGGCTTTCTGGGGGACCCCTGCAGGGGCCCCCCTCCAGTGTGGGCACTAGAGATACCCACCAGGGTGACACCTGCCACAGACCAAACCCAAGGCAAATGTAGACATGTAAAGGGGGCTTCTCCAGACTCCACACCGAACCCTGGGGCCTCAGGCCCAAAGGGACCGGTCAACAAGCCACAATGAGTGGAATCCTGGAGGCCTCATTTATTCATAGAACTTTCCGCCCGAGGCTCTGGAGCCCGAGCGCCCAGGGGTGACTACTGGCTCTTTGTTTACTAGCTGTGTGCCCTTGAACAAGCTGTGGTCCTCAGTTTCCTCATCTGTAAAATACAATTGATCTTAACGCAATACTATATTATAAATAATATGTAATATTATATAATTATGATACAATATTATATACTAATTATATAATGCTATAACATTAATGTGTAATACTTTGTTATATATTATAATATATAGAAAAACTCCCTGCCTGGATATTGGGGACTCGAAGGACAAGTCGGGGTTGTCTAGAAGGAAGGGTGCTCCTGGTGAAAGACCCCACATGGGCAAAGGTGGGAGAAACTTTGTGGGTTCAGAGAACTGAAAGAAGCTTGAGGCTCAGCGCTGCGGCTGAGGGCAGCGGGGCGGTGAGGCTGGAGAACCAACGCTGTCCTGCTGGGAGCTCAGGCCTCGACCTGCAGGGCAGGCTCAGGAGGAGACAGCTCGGACGGAAACTGGGGAGAAACACGAAGAGGGGGCTGAAGCCAGGTGGGTTCCTGCCTCTTACCTGCGCTCCTGGAGCTGGCTCGGGCCTCCCCGGACCCACCGGCCTGCTCCGTGTGCGGTGCCTGCGGCTGGTTCCCTGTGGGCACTCCCTTGTCCGCGGTGCTGGCCGAGCTCTCCAAGGAGCTGTTGCTGGAGCTTGGTGCCGTGGTCAGTAGGTGCTGCTGCTCGGGACCCGGAGTACCCCGGGCCTTATCAGCTGGCAGGTGAGGCTGGATGGGGAGGGGAGGAGGGACAGCGGTCAAGCTGACAGCCAGCTCCTCTTCCCTTCCTCCTTCTCACCACCGTCTACATCCCATGCAATAAGCACTTCACAGTTTGCATGACGATTCTGCCCACACCCACACATTCTTTCCACACACACTGCTTTCAGGAGGCGTGCTTCTCTGTGGTTTCTGCGATTAGCATCTGGCTGCCCTACTGAAGTGCGAGCCCTCTGCGTGTGGGGACCGGATGGCCGTGCCCACCAAACCGTCTCAGAGGCAGAGCAGGATTGTCGTCCTCATTTCACATTAGGAAACAGAAGCCCAGGGAAGGACAGTGACTCTCTAAGGTCACCCCGTCAGCACAGGGTGATGAAGCCCAGCTGAGCAGCCAAGAGCATGGACTCTGAGCCAGAAATGTGAGTCCAAGTCATGACCCCGTCACTCGCCAGCTGCGTGACCTTAAACGAGTGACTTAACCACTCTGTGCCTCCATTTTTTTTCTCCCTAGGGTTACCGTGACGACTGAATGGCTGAATATTTGTAAAGTGCTCAGAACAGTGTCTGTTACATAGTGAGCACCATACGGGGGGTCTGTTACATCAGGGGTAGGCGACACCCGGCCTGCCACCGTTTCTGCACGGGCTGTGAGCTACAAATAGTTCTCACATTTTTAAATGATTGAAAATAAACATAAAGATTAATATCTCATGACATGTGAAATCACGTGAAGCTGAAATTTCAGTGTTCGTAAATACAGTTTTACTGGGACACCGTCACTCCCGTTTGTTTATGTGCTGTCTGTGGCTGCTTTTTTCTCGCTATGAAGGCAGGATTGAGGAGTTGTGACAGACACCCGTGATCCAAGAGCTCACAACATCTACTACCTGGCCCTTCACAGAAAAAATTTGCTGGCCCCTGTGTTCGATCAATCGACCCAGGGCAGAGAGCCCCTCCTCCTCCTCTCCAGGACCCCCGGCCATGCTGCCTAGAAACCCTTTCCAGATTCCACTCTTCATGCTGCTCTGTGACTCCACCTGGCTTCTCCTCACGGAACACAAATAACAACACCAAGAATCATAAAACTAAAGTCCAGCCGACTTTCGAGTGCTGTTCTGACATCCTTCCAAGATGTCACCTGTCACTAAAGTCCAGCCGACTTTCGAGTGCCATCCAGTGCCAAGTGCTGTTCTGACATCCTTCCAAGATGTCACCTGTACTGATACTTCCAACAGCCTAGTGTTAACCTCACTCTGCAGCTATGGAAACCAACGCCCAGAGAGGTTGAGTTACTTGCCCAAGGTCACACAGTTAGGACATGGTACAGCAGGGCTAAAACCCATGACATCTTTCCTGGGTGTCTGGGGTTTCGGCTCTAGAGGCTCAAGACCAGGTCCCTGTTTGCAGACACCCTTGCTAGGAGCGGGGAGCACCTGGAAATTCTACTCCAAGGCTCTTGTCTGTCCTCACTAACTGGACAGGCACACAAGCCCTGTCTTGGGGTTCTGGTGATCGCTCGACCCCAGAAAGAAAGGAGATGGAAGGGGCCACATTCTTACTGGCCAGGATGAGAAGATTTAGGATATAATAAGAACGGAGGTGAGTGAAGGGCTGGTGAGATGCATCTTAGCACAACAGGGGGAAGTGAGGAGCAGAGGGTGGGCATTTACTAGGGGGTGGGAGGCAGGGGCACGTTAGACCCCCTCCATGGGCAAAGCTGAGACCCCACTGCCTTACTCCAAAATTCCAGGTGTGCTCTGAGTAGCGGGCAGAGTACCTGATCCCTCCCTGGACTGGCCAATCACCGAAGCCCCTGGCCCCCAGCCCCACCCACCAGAGCTGCTGCCCCTGCAACACCTGAGCCCTGTGGAGCCCTCAATATGCTGAGGCCGCGTATGCTTACTCTGGGGTGAGAGGGTCCTTAGTAAACAGTCCCTGTGAGGCCATGGAGGCCCAGAGAATGTGAGTCCCTGCTCAGATCACACAGCTGATCCATAGTGGGAGCAGGAGGAGCCTGAGTCTGGGTCCTTGACTGGGACCCCAGTAAAATCCAGGTACCAGAGCTGCTGGATTTCCACTGCATCCCGCCTCCCTGGTGCACCGCGCCGGCTTCGGAGGGAGGCAGGTCATTTCTAGTTCAGGCTGAACTTTGCCCAGGTGGTCTGACCTTGGCCATTGGACCCCACTCCTAGCCCTGCTCTGAGCTTGAACAGGCCGGGGAGGAAAGAGCATCCAAATGTCATTCCTTACAACCCCCAGAGAAGGGGCTTTTCGGGCCTGTGTCCCGCTCCTCCTGTGGCTAGAGCCAGGCAGAACAGAAACCCCCAAAGGTCACAGACCTCCCCTCCCCCGAAGCCACAAGCTGCAAAGTTCAGGCAGACTCTGAGTGGGGCAGATGCATCCCGCGAGTCTAATTCATTGGGCTGGGACTCCACTAAGAGGGGTTACTGAGGGAGTTCATACAAAAACAGGATGTCCGCCAGCCAGCCCCTCTCACCTCCCAGCCCCTCGTGGTCCAGCCCTGCTGTGAGCAGAAGCAGAAACCCTGGCAGAGCCACCAGCTGGGTCCTCCCGATGCCCATAGGCTGCGTATCTGTCCGTATGTGCAAGTGTGTGCTCATGAGGGTCACGCACTTCTATGTACAGGTGTGCGGGTGTGTGCAGTGCAGATACGCGTGTGTCTACGTGGGATGCGGGGTGTGTGTGTGCACATCTGTGAGAGGCGCAGTTAGTGTGTGTGCTGGGGGTGGGGAAGAGGAGCACCCCTAAGTTTGCATTCCAGGCCACTTTCATTAGCAATGTGACCTTGGGAAAGTTACTTCACTTTTCTGAGCCCAAGTTCCTGGGCCACGATACTAGAGCAACAATCACACTCACTGCCTGTGTCGAAGCATGGCTACGAGAATAAATACCACTCAGAACTGTGTCTGGCATACGTTCAGCACCTCGCAAACGTTCACTCTGCTTACTGAACCTGAGCTCGCTCATGAGTGTGCCTGTGGGGGTGACTGTGGGTGACCTCACACTTGTGGATATGCTGACCTTTTCTAAACAAAGGGACACCACTGTCCCGCCACACCTCGGAGTTACTTCTGCAGCAGGAGGGACAGGGGAAGCTGAGTCACCACAGTCTCCACCTCGGGGGCCTAGGCCTGGGCATTACTAGGCAGCCTTGTAGCGGGGACCACTGTTGGCCAGCTGAGGAAGAGTGGGGCACAGGCTAACCAAGGGGGTGGGAGCCTGGGGACGGAAGGGCACCTGGGAAAGTGACCAGCCTCTGAAGGGGGGCCCTGCTGGGGGCTCAGGTACTTGCAGCAGCCTTTAATGTCTGGCCTGGCAAAGCCTGCAGTTTCAGAGTGCGTTTCAAACCTGGGCTCTGCCCCTTACCTACTAGTCTGACATTATAGGGGTAAGAAAACTTCTTTGAGCCTCAGTTTCTTCATCTGTAAAACGGGGGTGATGGTATCATGTGACTCCTAGGGGTGTGTGAGGCTCCAGTGCCACAGCACAGGCACACAGCCTGGCACGGGGCTCAGCCAGCGCTGTGTGGGGCTGGCTCAGACCAGTGCGTGATTCTTCCCAGCTCCACACTTAGTAGGTCCTAGGTAGCTTGAAATTGGCCATAGTGGGTGTGTTTACAACACAGAAATGCAGGGGTGATGGTACCATGTAACTCCCAGGGGTGTGTGAGGCTCCAGTGCCACAGCACAGGCACACAGCCTGGCACGGGGCTCAGCCAGCGCTGTGTGGGGCTGGCTCAGACCAGTGCGTGATTCTTCCCAGCTCCACACTTAGTAGGTCCTAGGTAGCTTGAAATTGGCCATAGTGGGTGTGTTTACAACACAGAAATGAGCTAACAGGACAAAGAGGGTTTGGGGTGTTCTTCCCTGCCCAGAAGGCCAGCTACCAGCACACACTGGTCTCTACAAACAACAGCACTCAAGAAACAGTGGAGTTGGCTCGCACTCAGCGAACGACAAACTCAGCAAAGGGAAAGGAGAAGCGGAGGTTGCCGGTCACACCCAGGACGTCTTCACTGCACTGAGGATTGGGAAACCCTTGGTGGGAAAGAGAACGTGGCAGCTGGGCTGTGGGCGTGGAGCCTGGAGGGTACACTTGCTCTGCATGCCACCAGGCAGCAGCTGTCAGCACCGCTGAACCGAAGCCAGAAAAAGAAAGGGGTGGCCTTCGTGCCCTGGGGGGAATGAGAAACAGTTTGACCCCCCAAACCAGTGCTAAAACACTGTAGGGCAGGTCCTGAGCACTGGGCCAGGAGTCCAGAGACATATTGCTGTGTGATCTTGGACAAGTCACATTCCCCCTCTGTCCCTCTTTGCTTGTCATCAAAATCAAGACATGAAATCGGTCCGGGGTCCCTACCAAGTTCAAGCCCTGTACAAACCTCAGGCACTGGGCCACCCAGGGCTGAGCTTTCCCCTAGCCCGGTGCTTCTCAACTGGGAGTGACTCTGACCTCCAGGGGACATTTGGAATGTCTGCAGACGTTTTTGGTTGTCACTCCTGGGAGGCAGTGCTGCTGGCATCTAGTGGGGAGAGGCCGGCAATACTGCTACCAGCCTGCCAGGCACAGGACGGCCCCTGACAACAGAATTATCAGGCCCCAAATATCAACAGTGCCTTGGCTGAAAAACACTGCCCCAGCAAGAAGGGGGACACGGAGGAAGCTCCCGGGGCTCCGTTTCCTCGTCTGTAAAACTGAAAAACTGAGTAAAAACCCGACCCTGCCTACCAGGTACAACATGACAGCAGCCACCGAGTACTGGCTTATGCCACGGCCACGCCCTCTCCCTAGTCCTCCTCCACCACTGAGGTTTTGGTTACTGGCAGCCAAATGCCTTCGTAATGGAGAACTGATGAAATACTACCTCAGTGCTGTGTTGCTAACAAACGTCCTCCACAGACCCTATTTTATAAAAAACATCAAAGGCAGCTGCTTTGATTCACATCGGGGGACCCAGGGGCCAGCCCACTAGCCTCCATCCCAACCCCAGAGACGGCACCCGGGGCTCTCTGTGGTACCCCAGCGCTCAGCTTGAAAACCACTGCTCCGTGAGCAAGTGCTCCGTAAGTACCATGGAGATGCCGAGGATGGATGCCAGCTGTGTAGGTGGCACAGCCCTGCAAGCCGGGCCGAGCAGCACTGTCCCGTTTAATGCTGAGGAAATAGAACCACAGGCAACTTCACGTCTGCCCCAGGTCAGACCACAGATCCATGACCACACGCTTGCCACTGACACCACTGACCCACCTGCTCCCTGATGTGGCATTTCACACCCAGTCTCCCTTATGAGCCCATGGAGGGCTGCCTAAGCCCCGAGGACAGACGCTGGCTGGCCTTTCCTCAGCGTCCTGGGGCTCTGCACGTCACCTGACACTGCACAGACCAATCTACAGAACTTGCTGCTTTCTGAGGGACAACCTGACCCACCGAGGAGGAGAGCAGGGGAGCAGGAGGGGGAGTGCTGGGGGGTACTCACCACCTTGGCTTCTCCTTGCAGGCAGAAGGGCTTCTCTGCAAAGAGGAGACAGGGGACAAGTCAGGGAGGGTGACTTCCTCAGGCCACGTCCGTTCTAACTAAGAAGGCAGCAAAGGCCCAAGCAGAACCCGTGGAGTAGGCCCAGCCCTGGGGGCAGCGATTACCTACCAGACGAGGTGCACAAAGACCCCACGCCCAATCCTCCGGCTGCTCTGATATCGTTCCACTCCCCCCGCTCCCCCCAACCATCTTCCGGTTCCCCACCCCTGCTCATGCCATGCCCTTTGCTTAGCACGCCTTCTTTCCCCCCGCCATCAAAATTTTACACAGCTCAAATGTCACCTGCTCCACAAGGCCTGAATCCTCCAGGATTCCCAGACAAGAATCCCGGACTCCGAGAATCCTGCCCCTTGGACAGCCCTGATGGTGCTTGCTTCCATTAGATAAGTTCGTGGGAGCGTCTTCTGCCCCAGGCTCTAAACTCCTACAAAACTGAGACTACCATATCCCATAAAGCTGTGCCCAGTGCTGGACGCATAGAAAGCACCCCAGAAAAACTTCCTGAACAAACGGATGCATGAACAAATGAATGAAGGAAAGAAGAAAGAGAAACTTACTTTTCTTCTGGGTCATGATGACACAGTTCACCATCCCTATGATTAGTAGTCCCAAGGCTGTCACACCCACAATCAGGCCTAGAAGCGAAAACGAAGCTCAAAACAACTGCGAAAAGCAAACTCAAATGTATCAAGGACCCAGCAGATTAGTCAGTGACTAAGGATGGCTGGGGCTGTCTCAGATGAGGGGCAAGCCCAGTCCAGAGGTCTCAAATTCAATTACAAAGCAAACAAACAGAAAACTGTGTGCCAAACAAAACATGTCTGTCGGCCACATTCAGCCCGAGGGCCACGGTCCGAGATTTCTGGCCTGATGTAGTTCTAACTCCACGGAGGAAGCCTACAAGGTAACCTGGCCCAGCCCACCTACAACCTAGGGGTTCATCAGAACCCGCCATCAGAAGAACATATCCACTTTGAGATAAATGCTGGCCCCACCTCTCCACACCCAAGGGTTCTTAGTGACAGCATCAGGTCTTGGAAGAAGACAAGTTTCACCACCACAGAGGGCTCTGAGTAAGTCTCTGAGATAGGAGGGAAAAGGGAAGGAAGACGAATGGGCCCCTTTGACTTACCAATTGGAAGAGAGATGTTCCCTGTGCTGAGTCCTTCAGCCGGGAGGCTTGGGAACATCGGGGGCTGGACAGCGGTGCTTGGAGCTGTGCTGGGCCCCGGAGTTGACTCCACGCGTTGGGATCTCGTGGACACTGGCTGGGTCATGAGGGGTGAGCCTGGGGCCACTCTCGGGGTGGGGAGCACAGATGCGCAGACCGCATCCATACTTGCGTTGCCAGGGATGGCCACAGAGCTGCAGCTGAGCAGAGAGGAGCCTCGGTCAGGGGTCAGCAGAGGACGGAACGGCTCAGGGTAACTGGGCTCACTCGTAGGAGGCAGGCCAGCGGGCAAGGGTGCTAGCAGCTGGGATGGGGGAGTGAGTCCATGTACCAGGCCCGCTGTCCCTTCCTGTCCTCATGCTCCCCACTCAGCCTTGACTTCCACGGTAAGGCTGCTGATTCCCGTGTGTGCTCTGTCCTGGGACCCTCACCCTGTCAGATAAACCCGTCCTGGTATCGAACAGAGCTGGGCAAGGAGGTGAATGGGGGGATTTCGGGCACCGTGGCCCAGCTGCTCCATGCTCTGGACCCCGCCATCATCCAGGGACAGCCCCTCCCTGCTCCTCCAGAACCAAAGGACTCAGACACTCACCTCCGGTGGGGCCTGCAAGTATCCGTGGATGACGTCGTGTCAGAGAATGTCCCCGGGGCACAGGGAGCACACACCACGTCTGACATTGGAGTAGCTTCAAGGAAAAAGTAGAATCTGTCACCAACTCAGATGCTCAACACATAGTCAACTGCAGGGCCCAGAGCCACGGGTAGGCCTTGGCACTGGAGCCTGAGGGGCAATCTGAGGGGCCCATGGACCTCTGCCTGCCCTCTACCCCTTAAAACACACACACACACATACACACACACACACACACACACACACGCACACAGCTGGGCAGTTTGTCCTTTAACTAATTCTAGTGATTTCCTGGTCTCTAGGGCCACCCGGGTTCATCTTCCTATGACACCACCGGATTTTCCAGTAGCTTAGGGCTTAATTGATCCATCTCTGGATTCCCCGGGGCCTAGCACAGAGTAGGTACCTAATCAGGTGCGCTGGAAGAAAGAATGAATGGGGGATGGGCAGATACCTGGGTCGCAGGCACCTGGCCACCGCTGACAATGTTCTTGGGCTGGGCTGAAGAGCCGATGCCCATGAAGGAGAAACCCAAGGGAGTCCCCAAGGCCTGCTGGCCCCGGTCCCGTACCTGGTGTGGCCACGCCGGAGCCGGGGGAGCACCTGCTCAGCGGTATGCACTGGCGGCACCCCTCCTGCCACTTCAGCGTGCAGTACCAGCCTGGCCTGCACGTGCAAATGCGGTTCTGCTTCCGGGTGCAGGCTTGAGTTTCCATCCGGTCTGGAGGAGCAGCAAGGCAGCCCAGGGTCATTCCCGCCTCCGCTGGCCCTGCCCACCGCCATGCCACTCTGCCCTCTCAGCCCGCTCCCCACCCACAGAGAGCTCTGACCTCCACCAGGCTGCTGGCCCCGCTTCTCGCCAGCATGGGGCAAAGAGAACACTGGGCGCAGAGTCCCATAGCCACATGGTAGCATGAGCGACCACGGCTGCTCTCCAAAGTACCACTTCCTCGGCTCTAAAAGGAGCACGGTTCTCCCACCGCGCTCTCGGCCTGCCTGCCCTATGGGGCTCCGGAAGAGGAGTCAGTGAGGCACGGGATAAAAATGCCATTGAAAAGCCGGTGCAACCTGATGCCCCGGGGCATGGAAACGAAAGGCCTGGGGTGATCCCAGCCAGCTGTCAGCTAAAGGGGCTGGAGTGCGCGGTGGCCAGGCCAGGACACTGGGGACCACCCCTCGCTGGGCCCACTCACCGGAGCTGCAGCGGGAGCCACAGCTCAAGCACTCAGGGACCCAGTTCCAGAGCTGGGTGTACGTGCTGTCCTCGCAGGGGGAGCACACCGTATCTGAGGTCTGGGTGCAGAACGACAGTACATGGTAGCCTGAGAAAGCAAGGGTCAGAGGTCTCAGTGGGGCGGGGCTTCTGCCCAGATCCTGGCCTCATCCACTGTTCCCCAGAACCCCAGAATTCTGTAGCCTAGCTGCAAAGGCTCTTTGATGGGGTTCCTACTCCTTCCCATCTCACGTCTAGCATGTACCAGCTGTCACTCTATTGCTGAACCCCCACTGCTCATGAAAAATCTTCCCCTCCGCTCTTTTCAGATGCCTGGAATTCCACCATTGGAAATGCCTGTTGTTAGTCAGTCACACTTTAGAGAGAATGGGTTTGCCAGCTCCTTTCTTCTTCATATTTAGCTAAAATTCTCCCCCTGAGAGCATAAACTAGAGAGGGGGAAAGGAAATAGAAACGTAGTATAGTTTCCTATCAAGGCCTGAAGAGAAGGCATGCCAAGGATGGGAGAACATCAAGGCAAACCTTTAAGGAGCTTCTCTTCTGAGCTTTGAGCCCGATGCTGTCATACTCACTGCTGTGTTAATCTAGTAACTTCTTACAAAATCCCTGCCAGTTAATAGAAGAAAGAAGAGTCGCTTCTCCTGAAGTCTCTTCAAATAGCTGTGGAAAGTGACACATACAAATGTACCTGCCCACACCTCAGGCTAAGGGCCCAGAGCCTTCCGATGGCTTCTTGGATCCCGCAGAATAAAATCTAAACTCCTTACCACGGCCCCTGCTTACTCAACTCGACCACACGCTGGCCTTGCTATTCCTTAAGTTCACCAAACAGGCTCCTCAGGGCCTTTGCACTTGCTGTGGCTCCTGCCTGCCATGCTGTTCCCTTCATATTTGCGTGACTCGCTCCCTCACCTCCTGCATGTCTCTGCTCAAGCGTCAGCTCCTCGGAGGGGCCTTCTCTGACCTCCGTGTATAAAACATGTCCTACTGCATCTGTCTCCATCTGCCTTACCCTGCCTTGTTTTCTTCATGGCACTTATTCTGATAGGACCACACATCTGTCTCCTCTGTTGGTTTATCTGTGCCTCTACTAGAATGCAAAACCCATGAGGGCGAGGATTTTGTCTGCCCTGCTCTCTGCTGTATTCCCAGCACTTGGTGCCTGACACTTAGTAGACACTTTATCAATATTATAGGAATGACTGTATAAATGAATGAATGAAGAACGGACGGCACCGGGAGTTGTACCACCGGGCTCTTCCAGCTGGGGCTAGTCCTCGAGTCCACCATCTGTGAAACGGGTAAGCATTCACTGGTTCAGTCAGATGTGTCCTGAGCATCTACTAAGTGCCAGGCATGGTGCCAGGTGCTGGGGATGCAGAGGAGAACAAGCCCAGTCCCTGTCCTGGAGGAAGGCGCAGTGCCGGCGACAGAAGTGGAGCCGGGCTGCGACAGCGCGGGGCGAAAAGAGCCGCTGCCACGAGGGACAGCGGAGACCACTGGGAGGTCGAAGGAGGAACCAGATCTGGCCAGGCAGTCCAGGCAGGCTTCCGGAGGAGGGGGACGGCTAAGCTCCGGTCTAAAGGAGATGTAAGAGTTTCAGAGAAAGACAGTATGGAAGAGAAATAGCGTGTACGAAGGCCCAGAAGCAAGAGGGCGCATGGGGCCAACTCAGAGAACCGGAAGGAGTTCGGGAAGCATCTAGGACCATGACCTGCCTCCCCCACCCTTGCGCACACACTCCCTCCAAGGCGTCAGACCCCAGGGACCCAGCCAGTCTGAGGGTCAGGGCCCGGTGGCTGTCCCTCACCAGGAGGACACATGCTGCAGCACCGATGGGCTCTCTTGTCATAGTATTCTTTCGGCCGGCATGTGCTTCCAGGCTCCAGGGCAGAGGGGATGATTGTAACCTAGAAGGAGAAAGGAAAGACAGCCATCAGCTTGGCCACCTGTGGGCTCTGCCATGCCCGACGCCCAGATCCCATCCCATGCCCTGCAGGTGTTAGGCTCTCTCCCTGCTGGGGCACTATCCACTGACGTGGGAACGTCTCCCTTTGGGGGGAGGGGTAGAGGGAGAAGAAGGAAGAGTCCCTCTCTCCTTTTACCTCCTGTCTCCCTCCCTTAGTGCAGTGCGCGCGCGCGCGCGCGCACACACACACACACACACACACGTCTGTAGGTGGAGGCACTGAGCCTGCTGGCCAGAGGGTGGGCCTGGCTCCCTGACTCCCCCAGGGCTGATTCGGGTCCCTTCTCCTCTGGGCTCTGATAGTTGGATACGGCCCCTCCCAACAATCATCTCATTGTGCTGAAATGGGAGACCAACGTGTCCTCCTGTCCTGTGTGGGTGCCTGTGCGAGCGTGCACACGCGCACACACACGTCTGCGATGCACAAGGCAGAAACGACAGCCTCGTCAACTCTAGACCCTCAGCCTCCAACATGAGGCCCACGCCAGAGATGGTGCTCGTTAAATAAGTTATTTGTTGATGACAGTGACAACCACTGACCATTTCTTGAGCACTGACAGGGTGCCACGTGTTGTTCTAAGTACTACAGGTGCTCTAGTCAGTGGGCTCTGCTGCACCCGCCCACACCCCCTATACCAGCAGGACACCCACCCCCCAGCAGCCCCACAGGTGTTGCCTGAGAATGACCCCCAGCCTTCAGGAGGGACGGAAGCTGTGGTGGAGTTCCTGCTCACCACCCCCCTCCGGCCACTCCCGCCCCCGCCCACCACCTGGGAGTTGTGACTGCTGGAGCCCGGGGCAGCTGGGCCCTTCGCAGGCCTCTGCACTGAGAACGCGCATACAGGGAAACACAGCTGCCTTTCCTGCTTGGCCTGGCAGGCAGCCCCAGGGCCACCCTGGTGTCACGACGATCCCCGAGGGCCGGGGTTTCCTGATGCAGAGCGGTCTGGGGCTCTTCTTGACCCCACGATCTTGCCCAAGCCACCTCCTCCACCTAGGTCGGCCTCATGCTTCCTGTGACAAAATTCCATATGTCCCTTCTGACAGCAGCCACCTCCTGAAGGCTTTCCTGCCCACACCCCTTCCAGAATAATCACTAGTACCCCGAATCCTGATCCTCCTTCCTCACAGCTTCTGGCATATAGGGCGGTGCCCCGGCCTCTAGACGGGCACCCCTTGAGGTTGTGGGCTGGGATCATGCTTTATTGCCCTAGAGCCTGGCATGTCGTAGGTACTCAGAGGTCGCTAATCCAGTGGCCTTCACTACAGCGTCATTTCTTGGAGGGTTCCCCCCTGCACTAGGGCCATGAGGCGCAACCATGGAGCACACGCCATGCTGGCCGCCCCTGAGCCCTTTGCCCACTCCCAGCCCAAGCCCAGGGCCAAACCCTAGGAAGTCAGCTCCAGCGAGGACGCTGGAGAGATGCAGGGGGCTGGCAAGGGAGGTGGGATCCATTCTGCATAACCTAAGAGTCTAAAAAAGTAACTGGCATTCCGGCCTGGACAATAAGCTCGCGTGCCCGTGGCTGCACACGCGTGCACACAGCACACGCGTGCACACGGCACGTGCACTCCACCCATCTGGTCCCGGAGCAGGCTGCCAGGCGCCTGGGTGACAGGTGCAGCGGGGGTCCTGAGAAAGTGTACCTTCTACATCTTCCTTCGCAGGCGCTGCAGGGGCGGACCCAACTATCCCCCCAAGGCCACCAAAATGGGCCTGCCCTGCAGGCTGCCGCTCTGCGGCTTCCCTAAGGGAAGTGAGGCTGTGTCTCCGCACTCTGCTGCTGCCCCCCCTCAGACAGCACGCAGGAGGACAGGGAGGGGCCGCGCAAGGCGGCCGACACAGGTCACCTCATGTCCCGCATCCCCGCGAGTGCCCCCACAGTAATCAGGGGAGCCCCTCACTTACATGGGGCCTGAGAACCACAGGGCCGGGGGTGCTCCCGGTGGGGAGGGAAACTCTGGCCTCCCAGGACAGCCCCTGAGGGGCAGCAGAGGAGGGCCTGCCCCGCTTGGGGAGGATTTCCTGTCAGGGCCCAAAGGCTTGATGGGAAAGGGCATTGCCTTGGCCAAGTTTGTTCTCTCTCCACCCGCAGGCCAAGGATTCCTGGACAAAGGCCGGAGCTCGACCCCCACGGCCCCCAGGCCACTGCCCAGTGCCTTTCCGAAGCCTCCCCTCAGGGTCTCTCCCTGTGCATCTTGCTCTGAAGGCCTTTCCCTTCACTTCCTCCTGCTGCTCTGAGGTGGGGGTCAGCCCTCCCTTGAGCAATTTCTAGGCCTGTTTATCCTCTTGGACAAAAAAAAAAAAAAAAAACCAGCCCTGTCATGGCTAAACAATGAGGAACAGAAAGCCCCTCAGCCGAGCGGGACAAAAGGTCACTCCCGCCACTGCAGGGCTCCCCAGAGCAGAGGCCCAGTGGAAGCACAGCCCTGGGAGCTGGGCCTCAGGTCACCACAGGGGCCACACAGGCTGAGGGTTCCTGGAGGTCCCCAGCACATGGCCAGCAGCCTCTGGGAAACGTGGGGCTACGGAAGCTTCCAGTTCCTTTGGCTGGTGTGGGGGAGACTCAGATGCACGCACCACCCACCCATCCACAGAGAGTGATGACTGACATTTTTAAATGAGGAACCACATTGGATAGAAGTTGATTCACTCAGCATGTTTAGGAGACCCGAGCTTACAAACCAGGGTCCCCAGGAGTACACTTGGAAGTCACTGATGAGCGTCAGCCGTTTAACAGCGGGGCAAGTGGGGCTGGAGAAGACAGGTGATAGGAAGGTGGATGATGGATGGATAGATAGAAAAATAGACAAACAGATAGGTAGATGGGTAGGTAGAGAGATGATAAGTGAAAGGAAGGAGGGAGAGAAGGAAGGAAGGGAGGGAGGGAGGGAGGTAGGGAAGGAGGGAGGGAGGGAAGGAGGGAGGGAGAAAGGACCATCTAACATCCAATTTACGAGGCAGGTCTGATTGTGTCCATTTCACAAACGAGGAAATAGAAACAGAAAGAAGCAAAGCCACTCCCTGGTCTCCCAAAGGCTCTGGGCCATTCCAGGGTTGGTGGCAGCTGATGGAACACTGTGCACGAGGAGGCCCTCAGGGCCCGCCCCTCACCCACCCGGACCTCAGAGATGCCTCCGGCTGAGGGCTGTGGCCCCATTTCCTCTCCTCCACATGGGCCTAGTCTTCCTACCACGGGAGACGCCTGCAGTCAAGAGCAGCTAATGTGCACCCAGCACCCACCACGCCCCAGGGGTGGCTGTGCGAGCGTGATCCAGTCTCATAGAGGCTCCTCACCAACATTTCGGAGATGCTCAGAGAGGTGACAGGACGTGCTCAAGGCTACCCCAGAAGAGCTGTCCTCCTTGCTGCCCCCAAAGCTGCTTCCCTTCTCTCGGCTCTCCTTCCTCCTCGACCCAGGCCCAGGACCCCAAGCGCTCCCCAGAAACTCAGCACCCCCTCCCACCACATGACCTCATCACTCCTCCAGGTTCTCAGCTGCAGCCCTTCAGGGAGGAAGGAACACAATGGGACATTCGTTAAGCACCTACTATGTGCCAGGCAAGGCTGCGGGCACTTTACAGAATCCCACTTCAGCCCCCCAAAGCAGGCGGGCTTGTGCCCATTTCACAGCTCAGGGAGATCGGGTTGCTTGTCTGAGTTCATCGTGCAAGGAGAGGGCGGAGCAGGGATGTGACTCTCGCCCTGGTCCCACTGGAGAAATCGTTGGCTCCTTCCTCGGGGCAGCCGAAGGAGCCAGCTCCTGGGATCTGCCCTGAGTCACTGCCATGTCACCAGCTCCCATTTATCCACTTCCGTGCTAAGCAGGGACTGAGGCACTGGCTCACGTGGACACACATGCTCTCTCTCTCTCACTCAGGCTCTCTCTCTTACACACACACACACACACACACACACACACGTGTGCACGTGCGCGCGTGCATACAATGCTGGGGACCCCTCTCGGCCTCGGGCCGACAGCCTCTGACCTCAGCTCTGACCTGGACTGCCAAGAGACCACCAGGAACCTCAGAATGATCCCCTCTTCTGCAGCAGGCAGTGACTTTCAGCACCTAAGACCCAGCTCTTCCCAGAACTGCCTGTGTCCCCGGGCTCCTGACAGAGCCCATCCTCTGGGTGGCAGCTCCTGGGCAGGAAGGAGCAGGGGCAGCAAAAGCTCAAAGGCAGGAGTCTGTGAGCAGAGAGGGTTGGCCCCGCTGATCGGCAGCTAGAAGGATGCGTGGGAGCCGATGAAGAGGGAGCCGAGGCCCCGGAGTGGGGGCAGGATTGATGCGCGGCAGCTCAGGGCCGGCAGGAACCTTAGATGTCTCGGAAGACCTCCCATTTAATGGTGGAGAGAATCAGGGGCGAAGGTGGAAATGTTCATTCATTTGTTTATTCATTTCTTCATTCATTCAACGTACTGAGCACCTGCTGTTCCAGGTGCTGGGCAGACCGCCTCCAACGCATCCAAGTCCCCGCCCTGTGGGGGAGACTCAGTCACACACAGAAGAAAAATGTGAGGTGACAGTGGGGACCCAGGGAAAAAGGAAGAGCAAGGCGGGGTCAGGAGCAACAAGGAGAACCTGCTCGGCGTGTTCTGGGCACCCCAGGGAGGCCAGGGTGTCTGGGAGGGAGCTAGGGGACAGAAACGGTGGCAGCACCTTGTCCCGGGAGTTCGCTCCAAGCCAACTAGGCACCCTGCAGGGTCATTTACACGCATCACCATGTGAGTCCTTATCCCAGCACTGGGAAGGTCAGTACCACGACTGTCCCCACTCACTCAACAATACCGAGCCTCTACGAGACCTCCTCACCTGACCCAGTTTTTCCCAAGCATCAAGGTGACGCCTGTCTCCCCCACCCCAGAAAGACTAGACTTCAACCCCCCAGACCCACCCCCAAGGTCTTCCCTCCCACCGCTCAGGCACTCCCTCTACTGTGGGTGGTAACTGGCTTCTCTGTGACT